TGACTACAGGAAGCCCCTGCCCCGGGCTTCCTGGAATCAGCCGCTGATCAGTTTCAGCAGCAGCTGACTTGGGGATGCCTGGGGTTCTGGACGCCAGTTCCGACTTACATACAGATTCAACTTAAGAACAAACCTACAGTCCCTATCTTGTACGTAACCCGGGGACTGCCTGTACTTTGCATTTGTCCTTATTAACTTCATCCTGTTTACCTCAGACCATTTTTCTAGTTTCTCCAGATCATTTGAATTTTGACCCTATCCTCCAAAGCACTTGCAGCACCTCCCAGCTTGGTATCATCTGCAAACTTAATAATTGTACTCTCTATGCCATCGTCTAAAACATTGATGAAGATATTGAACAGAATTGGTCTCAAAACAGATCCCTGCGGAACCCCACTTTTTATGTCCTTCTTTTAGTATAATTATGAACCATTAATAACTACTCTCTGAGAACTGTTATCCAGCCAGTTATGCACCCACCTTATAGTAGCCCTATCTAAATTGTATTTCCCTAGTTTACTGATAAGAAGGTCATGCAAGACCTTATTAAATGCCTTACTAAAAACTAAATATACCATGTTCCCTGCTTCTACCTTATCCACTAGACTTGTTATTCTATCAAAGGAAGCTATCAGTTGGTTTGACGTGATTTGTTTTTTTTACAAATCCGTGCTGGCTGTTACCTATCACCTTCTATTCCAGATGTTTGCAGATTAATTCTTTAATTACTAGCTCCATTATCTTCACTGGCACACAAGTTAAACTGACTGGCCTGTATTTTCCTGTCTTGTTCTTATTTCCTTTTTTAAAGATGGGCACTATATTTGCCCTTTTCCAATTTTCTGGAATCTCTCCCACTTTCACGATTTTTCAAATACTTTATCAGCTCCTTGAGTATTCTAGGATGCACTTTCATCAGGCCCTGGTGACTTGAAGACATCTAAGTTTTTTCTAAGTAATTTTTAACTTTTTTTTTATTATTTTAACTTCTAAACCTACCCCATTTTCCCCTAGCATTCACTATGTTAGGCATCCCGTCACCATCAAACTTCTTGGTGTAAAACGAAGCAAAGAAGTCATTAAGCACCTCTGCCATTTCCAAGTTTCCTGTTGTTGTTTCTCCCTCTTCACTGAGCAATGGGGCTAGTTTGTCCTTGCTCTTTGTCTTGCTTCTAATATATTTGTAGAAGTCTTCTTGTTACCCTTTATGTCTCTAGCCAGATTTAGCTTGTTTTCTACCTGTTCCTTTCTAATCTTGCCCCCTGAAAATCTGTCTTGTTTGCTTGTATTGGGCCCTTAATATTGTCCCTTTAAAAACTTGCCAACTCTCTTCAGTTGTCTTTCTTTTTAGTCTTGCTTCCCATGTGACCTTACCTACCAGCTCTCTGAGTTTACTGAAATCTGCCTTCCTGAAATCCATTATCTCTATTTTGCTGTTCTCCCTTCTACCATTCCTTAGAATCATGAACTCTGGTTTCATGGTCACTTCTACTCAAGCGGTCTTCCGCTTTCAAATTTTCAACCAGTTCCTCCCTATTTGTTAAAATCAAATCAAGAACTGTTTACCCCTTCAACCTTCTTACTCCAACTCCTGTAACTCTCATTTTACAAGGAGTAAGGGAAGGTGGAGGAAGAGTGCTCTTCCTCGACTTCCTGTTGTGTTGACAGCACCAAAAGCCAAAATAAGCTATTTCTACTTAAGCCACGCAGTTGACGTAGCTGAAGTTGTGTAGCTTATTTTGGCTTTAGTCCTGATGTGTAGACGTGCCCTAAGTGTTCGGGGTGGCTCCTCAGCTGGTGTAAATGGTCATAGCTACACGGAAGTCAGTAGAGATATAGCAGGTATTACCAGCTCAAGATCTGCCTCCTGAGCTTCTGTTCATTATTTAAAACTAAATCTAAAAATGTAAGATTTAACTAAATGTCTTTAAAATAGATGACACCTCTTACCAAAGAATTAAAAATTGACAGTTAGCTCTGTAAGACTGAGAACTAAAAATGTATTTCTTAAAACATGGAAATCACAATTTCCCAACTGTCCAGTTGCATTTTAGTGGGAGCTGTGCAGAGGCAAATAAGTTGGGCATCCAACTCCCCTTTGCCTTTGAAAATCTCTGTACTGAATTGATTTTTGTTCTGTATAAATGATTCGGTATTTTAACTTAATGCAAGCCTCTTCAAATTGGGTTCTGATTTGAATCTTCAGATCTGTTCATTCCCCTCAAGATTTTGGTACAGTTGTAGATGACAAAGAATAACAGGAGGGGCGTTTTTCTTGATGTCAGTTTGGATGTGATGGAAATCTTGTAACAGCATCCCAGGGGGATTTTGCATAGTGAGATCACCAACTGAAGCCTTGATCTAGCTTCAAATCTGAACCCTCAGTTAATTTTAATTGTGATCAAAACAGTGTCTCCTCCGCCTATTTCCTAATTGTTTTTTCCACCTCTCCATGTGATAGGATAAATCCCAGTGTAATGCTAATGATGCTCACATGCACACAGAGAGGGTTTAACAGACCCTGATGTGCAATTGGTTTGGTAAATATCATTTCTTCATGCTTAAAAACATTGTCTTATTTATTTCTGTCTTGCTTCAGGATAGTTTATATCTTTTTAAACATAACACATTTTACATGTCTAATAAATGCACAAATAGCTAATTTAAAAAATATTCAGTGCACAAACAATGCAATTTTTAAGCCATGCATTTACATTTAATTCTATTAACATATTCTAAAATTAATAACATTGCATTTAAAAGGAAGTAATCCTTCTTGAAATAGGAATAAAAATATTCTAGACTTCCTGTGACTTCAGACCTAAAAATTTATTAATTTAAAAGCCACCACATTTATAATAGAGTTGTGAAATTGTAATATAGTATGTTCTAGAATAGTTTCTTTCTTAACTGAAACTCTAAAAACCTGTTGCAAAGTATTATAAATGTATTCCAAAGAAAAAAGTGTAGATGAATATTAAAAACCCATGGCACAAGGTACAGAGTCTCTGCAGGACTGAACCATTTCAGCAGTTAGTGTAATTTGTAAGGGTTACGCTGTATTTACAGACTTCAACACTAGTGGTGCTAACCTTTTTATCCCAGTCTGTAAGGTGTGTATCAAGTCAGTTTCTGCTCTGTGTTACTGGGGCTCTATAATATAGCTTTTAATCCTAACAGATTTTTTTTAATTGTGCAAATACAAGAAATAAAAGAAAAATTAGTTTTTACCTTTAGTGTTCTCTGTGGTAGTGCTTATGTTCAGCTGTCTTTCAGTAGCAGAACACCTGCCGTTTTCATCCTCTGTTAATTGTGTAACTGGTTCATTTTGTAGTATGGCATCAAGATCATGAAAAAACTTCATGGTTTTAGTGGCATCTCCAGAGTTGTGGGCATATTTAACTGTTCTGAATTCATACTTCAGATTTTTATACTTTGCACGGCACTGTTTCCAGTCTCTGCAAACTCCTAACTCCTGTAGTCTTTTAGCAATGTAGATAAATATTCCTTTATTCCTTAGTGTTCCATGAAGTTGCTGTCTTATGTTTTTTTCTGACCAAATGCTTAGCAAGGCTTTAACCTCCTCTTCTGTCCAATGCTTTCCTGCTCCACTCTCCATGTTGAAAGTGACCTGGAAATGATTCACTATTTCTAGCCAAGATTTTGTTTCCTAGGAAACCAGACGGCTGGTTGTCAGTAAGCTCCACAGAGATGAAAGGATCTAGTTTTACTGGCTCAAGCTGCCTGAGGGGAGTAACTTGAGAAACTGCCAAATAAGCAGGCTCTATATTAGAAGCAGACAAATAAGCAGGTCAGGCACAATTGAAATGTAATCTAGTATTCCCCAAGATAAAAAATTACTCTTTGGGTACCTTTGCTTGCTTTAATCCTTTTTATGAATGTTTTTAAATATGATACATTTTAATTAATACTTAAAAAAAGAAAGTGAGTCCTTTTTTTCTTATTGTAGTTTCTTAGGGATGAAATACAGAAAACTTAATATACACGTTGAAATCATCCACATTGATTTAAATTGCGTGTATTTTATAAAAGTCCTATTTCATTCTAGAATTGAGGATTGCTCATGAGCACAACTGATTTAAAACAGAAAAAAACCCCTGACAACTAAGAGAAGGTCTGCACTACATCAGCGCAGCTTCAGCAGATCTAGTGAGGAAGTGCTATGCTGATCTCCTGACTATATAAATATACCACTTCATTGAGAAATGGATGCTATGTTGATGAGAGAGTTGTTTCTTATCAACAGAAAATTTGCATTGTTTTGGGGGAAGACTTTTTCATGCCTCTAAGTGATAGAAGCTAGGTCAACTTTACTTTTGGGGCAGGTTTCCACCACCACTCAACAGACATGAGGATATAAGTTCCATGATAGTGAAACTGACCTTTTTAGCTCCCTGTGGAAACTGTACTAAGGACCAAATCCTAGTTCCTGACCATAGCTCAAGTATTTGGGCGCTCTGCAGAGAATTGTAAGGAGAGCAGAAGGGAGAACAAAATCTCAGACTCAAGTTGAGACCTCCTCCTGCATATTTTTATTTGAATGAGTTAAGGGCATGTGTGACTTGGTTAGTTAACATGCATCCATGATTCTAACAGTCCCATTCCTTCCCCAGCCATTACTGACTTCAAAAGTCCCTATGGAGCATAGTTTTGCTGTGTGGGGGTACAGAACTGCTGCCATCCTAACTCAGAGGGTTCACTGCTGATCTGGATTTGCCTGTGTTATGGGAGGTCAGGGATACTAGAGGGGTAAGTTTTTTGAGAGGAGGTGATGAGGGTTGGATTCAGAGTCTGAATCAGTGAAAATCAGAGGCATTGCTCTGAAGGTTAACTGTGGCCATCTGTCTTTATTTGATTTTGCTATGGCATTTGGAGGGCCACGATTAACATAGAAATGGCCTAAAGTTTAAAAAAAATGTTTTAAGCCAATGAATGTACAACACCCACCTCTAGGTTTTCCTACCAATTTCTGTGTTTAGATGTATTTTTCTGAGCAAAATAAACTGGTGAGGCCAGGGAAGAATTTTTCTCTAACTTCTTTCAGTTATAATACATTTTAGTATTACAAGAAACAATAGCAAAGAAAAAAAATTCAACAAAAGTGTGATTAGGGCTGTCAGCAATTTAAAAAAAAAAATCCCAATACTGAGGTTAAAACAAACAGAACATAAAGTGCCGTGCTCACTTATTTGTAATAAAAAAATTTTGTTACTGTAAAAAGAAGAAATAGTATTTTTAGTTCATTTCATACAAGTACGGTAGTGCAATTTCTTTGTTGTAAAAATGCTACTTACAAATGTAAATTTTTGAGCATATCTGTGCTCACACAAAACAGTGTAAACTCGACAGCCTGTATGTCAAATGCATGAATTGGAATACAAATTAAAGGCTGTGTTGGGAATTTAGCCCAAAAGATCACCTCTGCATAAATTAGGTTGAAGGCTACGACTTAGTCATAGGTATTTTTAATAAGTCATAGACAAGTCACTGGCAGGATAACTTCTAATTTTGCCCACTCTTACACCAAAATAATTTTGTCTTGTGCACCAGTATGTAGGTGATGTACGATGCACAGGGCAGTCAGCACAAGGAGCCCCACGGTCCCCGCCTACGAGCTGGACCTACTGTGCTGGCCACTACCTTGCCGGTCCAATTACAGAGCTGCCTCAGCTCCTAGCTTGGGGGAGGGGCAAGAGCCACCTTTCTCCTCCTGCTGGCTGCAGCAGCTTCATGTTGGGGTCTGCAGGTAGAGGTGTTTCCCCCAGGGCTGTGGCAGCTTTAGGGCATGGGGAGAGGGATTTCTCCCCACTACAGCCCTGATTTCTCTGGATGGGGCTCACTGGGAGGCTGCGGGGCTGTGCAGATGAGCAGGAACTTAAGTCACGGGAAGTAAGCAATAATTCATGGCCTGTAGCCTGTCCATGACTTGTACTACAAATACCCCTGACTAAATCTGAGCGGGATTGGGGAGGGAGTAGGGGGGCTGTAGGCCAATGGTTGCCCAGAGGGTTGCCCACATGGGATTGCTGGTTGGGCAGCCCACAAGCATTTTATAAGGCTTCCCGAGTGGTTAGCTGCAGAGCCAACCCTGGGGACCTGTAGCTTTGGGGTCAGCTGTGCTTGCTCCTGCAGAAGCCTCTTTCTCTCCCCCCCTCCCCTTGCTACCTCTATCTGATAAGAGGCAGCAAGGAGTGGGAGTGGGAGGGGGGATAACTAGTTAACTATCTGATAAAAATTTGCTTATTGGATAGTCAACTAGTCCTTCACATCCCTATACAAAACTCCTATACTTATATAAGACTAGAAGAGGAGGGAGAAGAGAAGGAAAGATAGTGCAAGAACCTTGACGAGCTTCTCTTCTCTGCATTGGCTCTATTTGTATAGAGTAATTAATAGACAATACATTAATGATTTGTAAATAAATTTGTGAGTTAATATTAAAGAGGCAGTAGAATTCTTGCCATCTTTGAGGTCCAGGAAAGATGATTAAGATAAAATATTTTCATGTTATAAGATTATTAGGAACTGGAATATGGAGCAGTCTGGAAAAGGGTTATGCTGAATAACATCCTTCAGTATCATCATGGGCAAAAGATATTTTAAATTATACAGAATCTTAGTTTCTTGACTGATAGGACTAAGTGTGAAGTATGTATTATTGATATCCACTTACATTGTGTATAGTATGCTGCAAAAATTTATATTTTTGTAACACTGATTTTTTTTTCTCCTGAGTTTTTTGCATCTGCATTTTATTAAATATTTATATACTTTCTTTAAACATTAAAAAGGAGACATGGGAAATTAACTTAAGAGACTAGTGACCATGTGCTTCAGGCAGCTAATGCAAATGGAACTTAGAAGTAATTGCATTCCAGATGGAAAATACTTTATCTGATGTTTTGCTATATATCGTAATGAACAGAGCTTTGGAGAATGTTGCAACGTTTTTAATGGAAAACGTCATCTTTCTTAGGACAACGCTAATGAAACTATAGTTATAGCCACTAGTAATGAAGTGCTGTATCGGTTTGTGAGAAAACAGAATCAAAGCATAAAGCGAAATACAACATTAAGGTCTTAAAATAGCTGTTTTGAAGAAAGTAAGAAATTTTGTTTGTTCAAAATGTGCCCTCGTGCAAGTGAACATAGAGAAAAGGAACACAAGGGCAGAGCTTTCTTTTCCTATGTAGATCGTGAACATGACTTTGTTCCCACCATCAACTGGACAGCCACCCCTTTTCTCCGGGCCCAGGGGGTGCTCAAACCCCCACGCATAACCTCATCTGAAATTCCTAACCTCCCCTCCCCCAACCCTGGCTCTTCCTGTCCCTCTTTGCTATTTCTTCCTGCCCTCTCCCCTAAGTGGGCTCCATCCCTGCTCATTATCCTCTCCCACTAAGAGCCTCCTTCATGCTGTAAAACAGCTAATTGTGGGAGGAGCTGGAGCTGATCATCGGGGTTGTCCGCAGACAGGAAAAGCTGGAGAGCAGGAGGGGAAGCTGGGCTGCCAGTAGGTATTTTTTTTCACTATTTTTTTCCATGAGCACCCCAGGGAGTCAGCACCTATGACAGCTCCTGGGGTCTTTAAATACTTTGTATCTCTAAAAGAGAATTCTGCCTCCCTGAGAGAGAATTCCTTTTGATTCCTCTCAGGCATGACAAAGAGAGGCTGAGCTACAGTTATGTGCAAACCCATAATTTTTATTTCTATTGCATCTTCATTAGAACACATACTTATGAGGCAATACTAACTTACTTTTTTGAGGATACAAGTTAAGTTGATAAAGTGATCAATAGCATTGATATAATATAGTTACATTTTTGTAAGATGTTTGACTTGGTACCACAGAACGTTTTGATTAAGAAACTAGAACTATACTAAAATCAACATGGCACACATGAAGTGTGTTACAATTGGGTACCTGGTGTAATTGGATAATGGGCAGTCATCAAGCTGGTATGTTTCTAGTGTGATCCTCATGGATAAAAACATTCTTTGCATAATGTTGTTTTTCTTAATGATGTTGAAGAGAACAAGCATTACTGGTAAAATTTGATTACAAAAGATGCACTGATGCAGTTTGTTCCATAACCTGTGTGGAAGCAAACAGTGCATGTTTTAATATAACCAAATGTATGTTTCTTCTAGGAACAAAGAAGGTAAGCAATACCTACAGAATGGGAAGCAGTAAGAGGGGCTATTCTCAGTGGTGACAGATGACAGAACGAGGAACAATGGTCTAGGTTGGATATTAGGAAAAACTATTTCACTAGGTGGGTGGTGAAGCACTGGAATGGGTTATCTAGGGAGGTGGTGGAATCTCCATCCCTAGAGGTTTTTAAGTCCAGGCTTGACAAAGCCCTGACTGGGATGATTTAGTTGGGATTGGTCCTTTGTTAAGCAAGGGGTTGGACTCAATGACCTCCTGAGGTCTCTTTCAATTCTATGATTCTAATTCTGAATGACTTGGGGGTCAGGGTGGCAAATCAGCTATGAATTTCTAGTGTGATGATGGCAAAAAAAAACCAAACCCACTAATGTAATTAATGTTACCCCAAAAATATTCTCACCGGAGACCACCCAGAGTTACACTAGTATGGGTTTATTTCCACTAGGTAAAACTAAACTAAACTAAAACACAAAGGTAACATAAATGCATTAACAGAAAATGAATTGTTTATCAGCAACAAAAGTCTGGCAAGATGCAATGGCTGGAAGTTGAAGTTAGACAAATATAGACAAAAAATAGGGTATCACTTTTTAACAATGAGGATAGTTGATCATCGGACTAACTTACTTAGGTTGTCATAAATTCTCCATCACTCGCAATTTTTAAAGCAATGTTAGACATTTTGTTTCTGAAATATATGCTCTAGCTATTGTCCTTGAAGCAGTAATTAATTCAAGAAAGTACTATGTATGTAAAAATCTGCATTGGGGCACAGTATTATTATGAGTATTAATAGGAAGAAATTAATAAATGAAACCAGCATTAACTGGGTAACCAAGTTATTGAGGAGGCGGGGGGGAAATCCCAACTCTACATATAATATGATGGGGACTAATTTAGCTTCAACTACTTGAGAGAGAACTTGGAGTCATTATAGATAGTTCTCTGAAAACATTCACTCACTGTACAGGTGATAGAAATGCAGCCGTGTTAGTCTGGTGCAGCTGAAACAAAAACAGGACTATGTAGCACTTTAAAGACTAACAAGATGGTTTATTAGGGGATGGGGGTGGGGAGGAAGAGGTAAATGTCTGTGAGCTAATCTCATTAGCTCACAGACATTTACCTCCCCCTCCCCCTTCTGTTCTGAAATTTGATTTGTCCTTTTCATGTGTGTTCATTTTTTTAATTGTATCCTTTGGTATATATGGTTGCAACAATTTTCTTCCACTACAGGCAGTCCCCGGGTTACGTACAAGATAGGGACTGTAGGTTTGTTCTTAAGTTGAATCTGTATGTAAGTCGGAACTGGCGTCCAGATTCAGCCGCTGCTGAAACTGATCAGTTTCAACAGCGGCTGAATCT